GTGTGTACATGTGTGCACAAGTATATAGAGGCCAGAGGAAAACCTCAGCTGTCATTCCTCAGGAACCACCCAGTTTTTTGTTGTTTTTTTTTTTTTTTTTCTTTTTTTGAGGCAAGAGGCAAGGTCTCTCATTGGCCAAGGGCTCTCCTATTCAGTTTGGCTGCCTTATCACTGGACACCCCCTCCCCAAGGATCTACCTGTCTATACTTCCCAAGCACTGGGATTATAAGTGCTTACCACATGAGTTTTTGCATGGCATCTCATATCCAAGAAGAAATGTTGCATGGACAAAAGAACTCTGTTAGTGACTGACCTCTCATCATCTCAGGACCCGAGTTTCTATGATAAGAACTACCTCTTCTGACACTGACACCAAAGGACAAACATGTCTTCTTCTGTTGTAGCTCCTCTAAATATTCCTTACTTGTGAATAACAAAATGGTGTGTAGTGATATTTTGATTGTAATCTAACAAATAAAGCTTGCCTGGAGATCAGAGTGCAGAGCTAAGCCACTAGTTAGCTACACACCTAGTTAAGAGCTAAGCCACTAGTTAGCCATAGAGGACAGGCAGTGGTGGCCACACCTTTAATCCCAGCACTTGGGAGACAGGGGCAGATGGACCCTGGGCTACATGTGAGTGAATCAGTCTAAAAGAGAAGCAGAGCTCACATCTTTGATCCCAGCACTGGAGAGGAATATAAGGTGGAAGGAGTCTGAGTTTGGTGGAGAACAGTGCAATCTGGAGATGCAGTCTGAGGACATAATCACCCCTTCAGTCTGAGCATTGGTAGAGGTGAGAACTTTCTAGTGGCTGGCCGCTTTGCTTCTCTGATCTTCAGCTTTAACCCCAATATCGGTCTCTGGGTTTTTATTATTTGTGCTACCATGGTATATAGAGCAAATAGTGCCATTTTGTTTGTCTATTCCTCTTTTTCTTCTTCCTTTCTTTATCAAAGGAAATAAAGGTGTTAGATGCTTACACGTTAGACTCACAGCAATAAAGAGTCTGTGTGCTTCAAAGGCTCAGACAAATGAGGGTTCTGGAGGGCAGGGTGAATTCACAGCTTTTCCATGCTTTTTTTTTTTTTTGCCTCTTAATCAAGATTCCAACTCATGCCTGTCCAATTCTCTACTACTAGATTATGAGAAACTAGATCTTTGAAATAAGAAAGAGAAGAAAAGTCTTCATATATATTCATTGTGTTTGGGAGTAAGACTGTGCCCTATAATTTAGAATTAGTGAAAGGAAGGCTTGGTTATAACAATGAAGGTTATTAAGGAAAAGAACAAGTTGGTCACACCACTCCATCTGTGCTTGTCATCACAGTAGCATTTCCAATTTTCCTATCCAGTTGGTAACTGCTGGTCTGAATCTTTTTATATGGACCCTTTCACATGTAACAATAAATATTAGAATAGTCTTCTAGTCTGCCTGATGACAGGTCTATAAAAAACAGTAACTAGAGCAGGTGCAGACTATCTCAAAACCTTGAAAAGATCCATTCAAAGCTACTCCACTGAAAATACACTGACTTATCCAAAGCAATAAAGACGTATATGTAAAATTTAACAGTCATCAGTATCAAAGGCCATAATACATGAAAAGTAAGACTGTGTTGAAAATGTTAAGCTAAATTGATAACACAAGCCAGGAAAGTGGCACAAGGCCTAAACTCGCAATTACTACTCTTCTGCTTAACAAGTCTATAAATGTTTAACACAATGAATAAAAGCAATGTGTGTTGCAGCAGTTTTGTTTGACTGCATTTAGGCAAATAAGAGCTCCAGATTCCCTTAATGTCTTCCTAACTATTCCACCACCGGTTCTGATGCCCATTGAGTTACTACTGATGATTTGGATTTGTCTTCAGCCAAGGCTTTCATCTCCTGCTGAGGCAGTGAGAGGAAAGAGCCAGGCTGAACACAGACAGCTAATGTGACCCTAGATGTCCTGCGCTGGCATCCATCCAGACACGGAAAGGCATACCTGCAGAAATGGAAAGGAAAGGGCAGATGTAGAGCAGCAGAGAGCATGAACTTTAACCTTTAGCGGATTTGGGTTTCACTTCCGGCGGACATTGGACAAGCTCACTAATCCTGCTTAGCTTCGGTTCTCTTCAGTAGTAAATGAAGATAACAGTGGTAGCATCTTCTACAGTTTATTATGTCACATTCGATAATATATGCAAACACTCCACAGACAGTGAGCATTCAGAAAGCTAGCTAATAATAAATCATCGATGCTATCAATATAAAAATATGTTTGTTTAAAAAAACGCAATGTAGCTTTAGTAGGGAAGGCTTCCACATTCTTTATTATTATGCAGTAATAACCTTGAACCTAAAAAGGCCATATTGGCATCAGCTTGTAAGCTGAGGGGAGTCAGGTATTAGACAAAATGGTAATGTCTGTCTTTAATAACCAGAGCTGTAACACTTTGGTCCCTCTCTCTCTGTCTGTCTGCCACTCCCCCACCCCCATCTGTCTACCTCTCTCTTGAATATTTCTTGTTCCTCTCTTATTATTTCTCTCTTCATCTCTCCTTCCCCATCTTTTTTTTTCTTATTTACTTTTATGTGTGTATGTAATGGGGACACCCATTTGGCACAGCACACATGTAGAGGTCAGAAGACAAACTTGGCGATCAGTCCTCAACTTCCAACTTGCTCAAGACACAGCCTCTTGTTTGCCACAGGCTAGTTGGCGAGCATTCACTCCAGAAGACCCTCCTGACTTAGTCCCCCAACCCAAAGTAGGTGAGCTGGGAGAACAAGCTTGTTCTGCCATATCCAACCTTACATGCAACCCGGGGATCTAAACTCTCATCCTTAAGCCTCAGACAGACACTAGGGAGGTGTTCTGCCTCTGAGCTGCACACTGTTATTCTTTTTTTTTCTTTCTTTTTTTTTTTTTTTGGTTTTTTGAGACAGTGTTTCTCACAGTGTTATTCTTTTGCTTAAATTAGAAGTCGAGAGATGGACATGGACTATAGAGAACACATTAACCAGTTTATTATAGGGCAGGAGAGTGAGAGGTGGAGAGAGAGAAATGGAAGAACAGAGCAGGGCAGAGAGTAAGAGAGAGAGAGAGAGAGAGAGAGAGAGAGAGAGACCTCCAGAAAGAAAGAGAGAGAGAGAACAATGCTGCAGGTTTAAAAGCAGGAGCTCGAGCATGCACATTGGATCCCTATGCAGCCCCGTAATGAGTGACATAGCTATGACTGACCACACAACACAGGGCCCTTTAAGCTGTCTTAGGTAGCTCCTGAACCTTTCATACACACTAGCAAAATCATACTTTTTGTTATGTTTAGTTTTGTGGCAGAGTCTCACTACTTTGCCCAGGCTGATCTCAAACTGGTAGGTTCGAGATTCCCCTGCCTCAGTCTCCAAAGTAGCTGAGACTAAAAGGCACAATCTTGTACTTTCCTGTAATTTAGGAAGTTTTCCATGAGGGTTTCCATGAGTCTAGCCTGGCTACATAGCAAGTTGAAGCCGGTAAGGACTCTATATAGGCAGACTCTGTTTCAAAACTTGAACAGATAAAGATGTAACTGTGTAGCTATGGAAAGCAAAGGATTGTTCACAACCAAAGACAGTTTCTAAGATTCTGATATAAGCAGATTAAATAGTGGTCCCACATACAGAGATAGAGGAAAAGAAAAAATAGTGTTGAGTCTCAGATATAGCAGTCAGTAGAGGGACCAAGAGTAGTGGATGAGAAACAGATGGATATTTGAGGTTGGATCCTGCATAGAGGTTTGGGTTAGAGACAGACATGGTGAACTAATTGCTGAGAGGTATATTCAAACCTAAGTGTAGTTCTCATTATTGGTCCCACTTGTTTGGTTGTTTGTTTTGTGTGTGTGACACTGGGGATTGAACCCAGAACATCACACATGCTAGGATCTACCACTGAACTGTATCCTGAACCCTCTTTTTCACTTTTGACTTTGACACAAGGTCTTACTAAGTTGGCATTCTGGCTTCGAATTCATTTTGTCACCCAGGCAGGCCTTGAACTTGTGGCTCTCCTTCCCTGACATCTGGAGGAGTGGGGTTCCCATGCCTGGGCCACTAGACCCAGCTTTGGTAGTCCATTTTCAAAGTCTCTCAGGAGATTCAAACATGCAGCAGAGGTTGAGAAACAAGATCCTAGGGAGTGAAATAGTGTCATTACTTAAGAGACTCAGAAAGGGGTGTGTGTGGGGGGGCACTGTGAGAGCCAATTCACACTTTAAGTTTTAATTACTATGCCTTAGAGATCCATGAAAGAAAAATGCCTCTGGAATCTGCAAGCCCCTTGCCCAAGGACAGATAGTTCCTAAAATGCTGGAGGCTATTGTTTATGGGAGATAACAAGTCTTGTCTTTTTGTTTTGTTTTTGTTTTTGTTTTTTCCACTCCCCTAAACAAGTTTGTTTGACCCATATACACCAGTACCTAGGCAGGAAGTATGTCAGGATACATGCTTGCCCCAGACTGGACCTACTTAAGCCCTTGGCATACTTGATTCTGGGCCATTTCCTAGGAACTTGGGTATGGACCTGGCCAGAACCCATCCACCTGGCCAGTATTTAATTAAAGTTTGCTTCAAATTTGGTTTTAAATTGTGGTAGTGATATTATTCTTGATTGGTGGGATTAACATTTTCTGGAGGCCCTAGTGAAATTCAGACTACCCTGTTGTGCCCAAATTCTGAATCCCCAAATTACCAAGAGGCCCATTTCGATGCAAAAGCAGTGAGTCTTTTATTGCAGTTGTTTAACAGGCTCGGGATTGGTGTGCCTCCAGGCTTGGAGGACTTGCCCTGTGTTGATTGGTCAACTGGTTGTTATGGCACATAGGCCCTCCCAGGATGGTTGCTATGCTCTGCACGTCATTGCTGTGCATTTGTTCATAAAGCACACCCAGAGCCGTAAAGCATAGCGCCACCAGCTAACTTCTGATTGGTTCCTTGCCACGAAGCAGATATCTGACCTCCTAGCGACCTAGGCAAGGTCAGGCAAGCACATGTTAGGCTGTTATAGCTGCCAAAATGGGGAGCTGATCCCTTCACCCACCCAATTTTTAAAGCTGGACTTTCGCCCCAGAACTTGGAGACTGAGGGGTCATTTCAGGAGGCATGTGCCTTGAAACATTTGAAGGCCCTGAGGCTGCTTTCAGTTCCTGGACTACGGGAGTGTACCGCCATGCTGAGATTTGCAGCATGCATCTACAGAGGCCTCCTGGTGAGTCACAGTCTGGTTCTCTTCTGTGGGATCCTTATCTGGGACGTGGAGAGGGTTCAACAGTACTCCAATATTCTCTCAACTGGGGCATATAGCCTGACATCACCTGCCCATCTGGTTGTGGTTCTGGTTGGAAAGTTTGATTTGTTTCCCTCAAAAAGTTTTGTTTATGGCCGGGTGGTGGTGGTGCATGCCTTTAGTCCCAGCACTCAGGAAGCAGAGGCAGCCGGATCTCTGTGAGTTCAAGACCAGCCTGGTCTACAAGAGCTAGTTCCAGGACAGCCTCCAAAGCCACAGAGAAACCCTGTCTTGAAAAGAAAAGAAAGTTTTGTTTATATATTTCTAGAGAAAGTTGTGTTTGCTTGTTTTGTTGCATTGTTTGTCTGTTGGAAAGTTTTATCTGTGTCTACTGATGTGTCCATAAGTTTTGTTGCAAGCATGGAGCTGTCAGATAGTTTTGCTGTTTCTGATTCTGACAGCAACCAGTCACCACCACTGCTATGACCAAATTTATAGCTAGAGCTCAGAATTTATCTCTGAGCTCTCTGGTCACTGGATTCAGGTTAGTAGGAGTTTAGCTGTTTTTTGGGTGTGGATAACATTAAAGTTGTTTTATGCTCTAGGGTTGGATTATGACTCTCCCTTGCCTAGACACAGGCATATTTAAAAGTTTCCTCTATTTCCTGAGCCACCTGACACAGTGACAGGAAAAAAAAAAACATTACAGCCAAAAAATTAGACCTAATTTATGTGAACATTCTGTACCTTGAGATTTATAAGATTTTTTCTTTTTTTTGGAATATGGTTAAAAATCTGTAAAATCTGAAAAATAAAAAATGTTAAAACTAGTAACACTGGGAGTTGATATTTAAAAATATATGCATAGATAATTTTAAAGGAACAATATGGCATAATTCCATTTTGGATTGCCACCATCTTTAAGCAGCCACAAGTCTGTCAGCCATCTTTGCTACAGTTGGAGAAGACAGATATTGTCATGTGACTTTGCTGCCATCAAGATTAAAGGTGACCACATAAAGTGGGCGTACCAAGGAAGCAACTACAGATCCCAAGATATTTTGGATTAGGATAGATTTTTGTATGATAACTCCTGTCCTGAAAAAAGATTTATGAAAGGTAGGATTTAAAAATAATGCTTGTTTAATAAGGTATTAAAGCTGTACCTCCATGCCTTTATATACAAGAATATACCTTGCTCTGGCAGCTAAACTTTGTAATTTAAGAGTCACCCAGGTGCCAGGTAGTGTGGCACACGCCTTTAACCCCAGATCTCTGTGAGTTCGAGACCAGGTTGGTCTACAAGAGCTAGTTCCAGGACAGCCTCCAAAGTCACAGAGAAACACTGTCTTGAAAAACCAAAAGAAAAAAAGAGTCACCCAGGTGACAATGGTTTTAAAGACATGAAGGGATCATGGGGGATCAGCTGCAGCTCATTTAAAAATGTATAATTAGTCGGGCATTGGTGGCACACTCTTTTAATCCCAGCACTCGGAAGGCAGAGGCAGGTGGATATCTGTGAGTTCGAGGCCAGCCTGGTCTCCAGAGCGAGTGCCAGGATAGCTACACAGAGAAACCCTGTCTCAAAAAACCAAAGAAAAAAATGTATAATTAAATACAGGTTAGTAGTCATCTATAATAATCAAACTTGGAGTATTGTTAGGTCTGTTTTCAAGGTTAAGACTAGTTTTGTTTAGCTCAGATATATTTACTAGATAATGGTCCTCAAACTTGTCAGAGATCTGATGGATATGGCAATTATAATGTTTAATGGAAAAAGCTTACTATCTGTGACCCCAAGATGACAGGGCACCACAATGTCTCTACCTGGATTGTGGTAACACTAACCACAGGGCAAGACTGCCCACAATGCATCACCTACTGCCAGGACTGGACCCAAACTGTGGACAAGCAGGACACTTAGGAGTTGATTGCCCCACTTTGCCTAGACAAAGTAAGGTCAGTCTCTCCAATGTTCCTCCTCCAAAGGAAAGTTTCTCACCTTCTGGGCCTGGCAGCCGAACACTAATGCTGTCCTGGTACCTCTGCCCTCAATGCTTTGGAGACCACAGGAGCCTGGGATGACCGTTTACATAATGGACTAGTCTCTGTCTTTTTTTTTTTTTTTTTTTCCTGTCTTTTGTTTTTTTGAGACAGGATTTCTCTGTGCAGCCTTGGCTGTCCTGGAACTCACTCTGTAGACCAGGCTGGCTTCAAATTCAGAGATTTGCCTGCCTCTGCCTCTAGAGTGCTGGGACTAAAGGTGTGAGCCACCACCTCCCAGCCAGTCTCTGTCATTTTAATTTATACACAGGCCATTTGATTTGGATTATGCTTCAAGTGGTAATTTATCTTTCTCAGATCTCTGATGGTATTGATGGCTAGGCTATAACTTTGTCAGTTTAGCAACAGCAGGCCACCAGGTTTGTCCCCAAGGCTGCTACCACCTTGTTAACTCATTTCAGATGTTAAAATTAAGCCTTGCTTTTTCTAGAGTTACTAGGCATCCTGTTGAGAAAAAGGTAGACAAGTTTGCCTTGCTAACAGGCTTCTTACTAAAAGATAAATGGGTTTCAGATATAACTTTCCACTAAAGGGACTATTCTCAGTAGTAATTATTTGTGTCTCTGGTAAATTATTAAATGGAAAGAAAGAGTATTAAGTCTATGCACGTTTTGAGCTTCTAAGATATATAAAGTTCTGAGGATGTGAAAGCTTAAATTCTGAGGGTCTCAGAAAGTGATTTATGATGTAAATGCAAGTTTCAAAAGAATAGATAAATGATTTAAGGTATGAAAAATGTTTCAGATTTCTTTCCCCTTCTATGGTATTGTTATAGTAGGATTCCAAAAGTTTAGTGTTTAACATTAATAGAATTATGATAAGCTGGTAGAGCAGTGACTACTTACTCTTTAGTCACAAGTTCAAGATTTTAAATTTGCTTTGGCTGTCTGTCTTCAAAATATAGACTTAAAGGTGCTTCTCATCAGGCCAAAGACATGTCTGTCCAATCTATATCTGACTCTCTGGATAGGGAAAAAATGTTCATGTTTTTTATCCCAAAGCTGTACCTTTTGTTAGGACTCAAAGATGTGAATCTACACCAGCAATTTTACAAAAACCTGTTACCTGATTTTTCTTAATGTGAATTTCAGTACAGATTGTTAATTCTAATATTTTTAAAACTTTTATGTCTTTTTGTAAACTAAAAAAATCCATGTAAGCCTCAGAGAATTAAGGGAATCATAAGACTTGGATCCATCTTTCACAGGTCGAAAGGATTCTAGATAAGTACAAGCCTAAGTTTCCCCCCTGTCTATTCCTGAGGATGGGATCTTTCTGTCTCTCTGTCTCTCTGTCTCTCTGTCTCTCTGTCTCTGTCTCTCTGTCTCTGTCTCTGTCTCTGTCTCTCTCTCTCTCTCTCTCTCTCTCTCTCTCTGTCTCTGTCTCTCTCTCTCCTGGTCTTGGGGCTCCTCCCCTCCCTCAACTACTTGGATTAATGGATCTGAAAATTCCAAATGTAAGATTTTTCCTTTAAGTTAGTAAATTTTAACTCCTGTCCCTAGTCTACATCTGTCTCAGCAGATTTCTACTTGGCTGACAGACACATCTAAGCATCAGCTGCTGACTATAACCTGCCTCAAAGGATTGTGAGCCCTGGACTTGCTGAAAGCTGATGTAGACCATTCCAGCCTATTTGGCTCTGTCTCTTCAGCTGGGTCAGTGAACCAGATGCTCTTGATGAGTGCCCCATTGCCTTAATCCCCTCCTTGCTTTCTGGGCCCTGATAATTCCTAATTTCAGCAGGAAGTAGTTACAGAAAAAGAGTAAGTACATAGCCTTGTCTCCTAACAGGCTGGAATGTTATATCAAAAGGAAACTCTCTGACACAGTCTGAAAATAGCTACCTATTGTGCCTATTGGCATACCAGGAAACCAAATACATCCAGATCTATAAACAGGTAGATTCATTAGCTTAAATAGTTCTATAGAGATATGATAGGGCACTCAACCTTCTCTATGTAAAACAGAGAGGTTATCGTATAGCTTTAAGAGAAAATTGTTGTTTCTACCAAACTACTCATAAATCATTAGAAGTAATCTGCTGTACTAAAAAACAAATCATTGCAAAAAAAGGGGGGGGGGGGGACCTGAGATGAAGTAAGTAACTGGTCCCTGTTCTCATTTCCAGGTTCCTTCTAGATAATAGCTCTGTCAGCCATCACAGGGCCTTTGGTCCTTCTGCTTCTGCTAATTGTCATGGGCTCTTACACATTGATGCCTTACCTAAATGATAATTTCTATCTGGGTACCATTAAACTGATGGTTATTAGATCCCAACATAAATAGGTACCCACCCCAGAGTCAAGGATTTGACTCAGGATACAACTCAAGAGGGGGAATGTGAGAGTTAACATTATATTTTAAGTTTTAATTACTATGCCTTAAAGATCCATGAAACAAAAATGCCTCTGATCTACAAGCCCCCTGTCTAAGGGCAGATAGTTTGTGGAATGCTGGAAGCTATTGTTTATGGGCAATAAGAAGCCACATGCTTTTCATTCCCCTAAACCAGTTTGTCTGACCCATCTGCACCAGATCATAGGCAGGAAATATGTCAGGATATATGCTTGCCCCTGGTTGGACCTGATGGGAAATGCAAGGAATTATGGGTTTTCCTTCTTAAGCTCTTGCCATGCTTGATTCTGGGTCATTTCCCAGGAACCTGGGTATGAACCTGGCCAAAGCCCATCTACCTGGCCAGTATTTAAGTAAAGTTTACTCTTAATTTGGCTTTGAACTGTGGTAGTGGTCTTATTCTCCATCGGTGGGATGAACAGTGTCTGGCAAGAGGACTGACCAGGAACAATTGATCAGGTGTGAAGACCATAGAACACTATGTTCCAGAGGCCAAAGGCAGGCAGTGGTCTTAAAATCCAGCAACCACCACAGTACTCCCAGGAGGACATGTAAGTTGAGGG